TAGGGCAATCCTAGTGGTTCTCTTGATATAAATCTGCCTCATAGCTGGACTGTGCTACAGACAACAACCGAGTGGACCGCCACGCGATGCGGGGAGACCAGTGACCAAGCCGTGCTGAGCCATGTGACTTGGACGCGGGAGGGCAGGATGACCTAAGTGGTGGTGCCACAGGAGTGCCGGGTGATTGAGGGAGCGACAGGAGTAGGACGCGGCTACCTGGGTGGACGCAATTACCTGGGGGGACTCCGTGCATAGGGTGAAGAGACCAGACTCTAAGTTACGGTCAAAGGTGGCTAGACGGGCGCCAGTGGCTGCGTCTGCACAGGCTATTTACCGCGCGTGGCCAGGAAACGTGGTGATGACAGGGCCAAGGGATCAGGGAGAGGGGGGGGGGTCGGGCAGCTCACCAGTAACGCGGGCTGCCCGCGATTCGCCCTCCACACAGCTGCTCAGCAGCTGCTGGCGGAGAGAGGAAAGCCAGGTCATGAATCCGGTCGTGCAGCCGTCGGCGTCTAGCCGAAGGACGAACACCGACGCCAACGGGGCCACCATGCCGCCATGCCATGCGACATGTACCCGAACAGGGGCCGCTGCAGGTAGGGGCGCCACACATCGGCAACGGCGGCAGTAGGGTGGGCGGCAGGTCCAGCGACAACTCCGATAGAAGGCGGCTGGGAGCTACTGAACGAGGAGATGGGTGCCTGAGACCAGCGGCAGGCTACGGCGCCAGCGGCTGGAGCGCTGGGGATTGGGGTGGCAGCGGCTGGAGTGAAGGCAGCTATGGTGCCGGCAGCGGTGCTGGCGGCAGCGGCCGTAGCGTGGGTTGCTGCCGGTGCAGCGGCGGCGACAGCGGCTACGGTTGCAGCAACGTTGGCGACAGCTGCACGTGCAGCGGGGGCGGCGCGGGCGGCTGTAGCTGCGGCTGGCTGGCGGCATGCAAGCGGGCCAGCAGCTCTGGTGGCAAGCAGCGAGTAGCCGTAGCTGGCAGCGCGCAACGGGCGACTTGCAGCGGGCGGTGCACAACTGCAACTGCCAAAAAGAGAGAATGAGTTCGGATGCAGGATTGAGGGTAGAGTATTTATCATAGTCTGCACTCAAGGTTATTGGAGGTCAGCTTGCCTGCCTAGATGGAGCGGTCGGAAGGGGGGATGAGGACATATGCCTTGCAACATTGGATGTGAAGAAATGCAGCATCAGGCTTGGTGAAGGCCAAGAGCTCTGTAGGAGTGATGGACTCACGTAGAGGGTAGAGGAATATTAGTGAGGACAGCAGTATGGACGAGGGCATAGCCCAAGAGGGAAGGGGGGGTGGGGGCATGAGTGAGAAAACATCGTGCCTTCTTAATGATCTCATGGATGTAGCTCTCATCAACACCGTTCTGCTGAGGGGAATGGGGAAGGGTATTAGTTGTGCTGGAGCAGTAGAACGAGAGAGTGCGGTTGAGAAACTCACCACCACTGTCAGAATGGAGGCGGTAGAAAGGGCAACCCTAGTAGACACCGCACAGCTCGGCCCAGGCGAGAATGACAGCAGGTGCTTTGGCCTTCATATGGAGAAGGAACACCAAGGAGTAGCTGCTATGATCGTTGACTAGGACGAGCATATACCATGCCCTTGGTAGGAAGAGGAAGGGTTAGGACTTCAGAGGTCCATGCAGATAGGCCAAGAAGGGCAAGAGCAAAGGAATGGTGACTGAGGAGACGACTTTGCGAAGTACGGGAAAGTTTATGTGACCAAAGCGATCGTGGATGAGAACAGCAGGGTGGGAGAGCGCACAACAGAAGCATGAAGAGAGGGCGGAAAGGGGAGGACGGTGGGTTAGGAGGGAGGTGGGAGGAGTGTAGAGGTGCTTGCACGAGTGGTGACATAAAAAGAGGAGGGGCAGGGGTGTGCTCAGGATGTACTGGCGAGAGCACGGGCAAAGAGGGAGGCGGTGAAGGAGGCAGGGAGTGGGCTTTTGAAGCAGATGATAGTATGTGGCAGAGGCAGGGAGGGTGGTAGTGACGCCATCTTATTGGAAATCTGAAAACGAACCCAAAATTGTTTTCCCCCCAAAACGCGTCTCATATTGCGAACGAAAATGGAAACTGGAACTAGCTGGGTGCGACGCAAAAAAACGGTTTGCCTCAGACGCCCCGAATTGCAGTTACCACATATCGCAGCCCACGAAACAGATGCTTCATACTGGGTTAGGTGTCAGGTGCGATTTGACGTTGTGCCAAGCGAGTTGTTTGCGAGGTCGCCTTGTTCTCGCCAATCTCGGCTTGGCGAAACTCTAAGCGCCACAGGTGCCCACTCGACCCCAAACATACACCTACCGCCACCCGAATCGTGGACAAATTTTGACTGGGGTACATGCACCTTCACATGCGTCGAGCATCCCGAGTTACGAAATATTCGCGCACTTGTCCTCGCGAAAGGTAAACGATGCTAGAATCGGGTTATTTCAGGCAATGAGTAGAATGTCAACTATTTGGAGACGCTCTGAGGGAGCCAATCGTCAGCGACGGCCGATCGTCATCGTGTACCTGACGTCCCCCCAGACGTGGGTGGTGTACCTGTCGTCGCCGCTGTCGCTGCGGCATGACGGGGCGGCGCTGGTGGCGGCGGTGCCATTCACGGGGACCATGCGCGTGGCGCTGCTGCCCGGCAACGCCGCAGAGCAGGAGGAGGCGCTGCTGGACGCGCGCGTGGCCACAGTGCCGCTGGGGGGGCGCGCAAGGGTTGGCGCGTTCCGCATCAAGTACCGCTGGCGCACGCAGCAGTGGCGCGAGGTGGCTCCTGGCGACTCCAAGGCGCCCCTGCTCATGCTCTCGCTGCCGGGTGGGTTCAAGTGGGCTGCTTCCATGTGTGCTGCCATGCGTGCTGCTGCCATGTGTGCTGCTGCCATGCGTGCTGCTGCCATGCGTCCTGCTGCCATGCATGCTGCTGCCATGCGTTCTGCTGCCATGCGTGGTGCGAGAGGAGCCCTTTGTGCTGCTGTGTGTGCTGCCCTGTGTGCTTCCCCTGTGTGCTGCCCTGTGTGCTGCCGTGGGTGCTGCCGTGTGTGCTGCCGTGTGTGCTGCCGTGTGTGCTGCCGTGTGTGCTGCCAAGTGTGCTGCCATGTGTGCTGCCCTGTGTGCTGCCGTGTGTGCTGCCGTGTGTGCTGCCGTGTCTGCTGCCGTGTGTGCTGCCGTGTGTGCTGCCCTGTGTGCTGCCGTGTGTTCTGCCGTGTGTGCTGCCGTGGGTGCTGCCGTGTGTGCTGCCGTGTGTGCTGCCGTGTGTGCTGCCGTGTGTGCTGCCGTGTGTGCTGCCGTGTGTGCTGCCGTGTGTGCTGCCGTGTGTGCTGCCGTGTGTGCTGCCGTGTGTGCTGCCGTGTGTGCTGTGCTGCCGTGTGTGCTGCCGTGTGTGCTGCGCTGCCATGTGAGCTGGAATGCCATCACAAGTGTCACCGTGCTGTCAGCTGCCCTCTTCCTCTAAATACCAACCATCCAACTCTCCTCTTTTGTCACCCACCTCCCCACTTCCGCGCCGTTGTCGGCTTTGCATCACCCTGCCGTCCCCTTCCCCCTCCCCGTTCCCCCATGAGCAGTGCACCGGCGCCTGGGAGTGCGCTCGGACAACCCCTCCCCCTCCTCCTCCCTGCGCCCCCGCAGCGTCTCCCCGTCCCTTAGCACGGGCTCCATCCGCGGCACCCGTCTCCCCGCGCCTGCTGGCTCCTCCGCTCTTAGGGGCCATGGCGGTAGGGCCCAGGCGGGCTGGGAGTACCACAGCAGCGACGCTGCAGCACGGACTGGGGCACGTATGGCATCAAGGGCAGCGTCAGCGGCAGCGCCATCGGCAGGGGAGGCGGACGAGGCTGTGCTGGCGTACCCCACCATCGATGGGCAGGCGGTGGGCATGGGGGGGTCGGTGTGGGAGGTGCAGGTGCCCAGGAAGCCCACCCTGTGGCACTCGGACGGCCTCACGGCCAACGCGCAGGTGCTGGACGAGGTGAGGGCGAGCCTGCAGCAGGACGTGGCGGCGCTGCCGCCACTCTCCAACCCCTCCACCTACTTCTTCGGCAAGGCAGCGGCGCGTGCCGCCCGCCTGGCGCTCATCGCGGACCAGCTGCACGATGACAGCAGCCTGGCCGCCGTGCTGCCGCCCCTGCGCTCCGCCCTCTCCGCCTGGCTGGACGGCACCTTCCCCGGTAACCGCCTGCTGTACGACCCCACGTGGGGGGGCGTGGTGAGCGAGGCGGGGTCGCGCGATCAGGGGGCGGACTTTGGGCTGGGCATGTACAACGACCACCACTTCCACTACGGCTACTTCATCTACGCGGGGGCTGTGCTGGCCAAGTGCGACCCCGAGTGGGGCAGCCGCTACCGCAACGCGCTCACGGGTCTGCTGGCGGACTACATGTCGGTGGACCGGGCGCAGGGCTGCCCTAGGCTGCGCAACTTCGATGCGTATGCGCTGCACTCATGGGCCAGCGGGCTGTTTGACTTTGCGGACGGCTGCAACCAGGAAAGCTTCAGCGAGGCCGCCAACGCCTACTATGCCGGCTCCTTGCTGGCCTTGGCGTTTGGGGACCAGCCTCTCGCCACACTGGGTGCCACACTGGCAGCAGTGGAGGCCGTGGCAGCGCAGACCCTCATGCAGGTTAGCCCAGAGGTTAAGGTTTTATGAGAAAGAAGGCCACTCCATTGCTACATACTCGTGTTCTCCAAGTCATTCCTGCACTAGGCATAACAAATTCTTTGGGGTCATTGTTTGCACCGAGATTACCTCTAAGGGGAAAATGGTATAGAAATGGAGGGTCAATTCGAGTTCATCATGCAAAATGCCCTCATACAGGGGCCTCTCCATGCATCCAGGCCTCTAAATTGGTTTTGGCCCACTCTTACGAATCAGAGTGCTTGAGACATTTTACCCTGCATGCTAGGGTGAAAAAAAATCCAAGTCTGAAATAGCAGGGTAAAAAAAATCTTAGTCTGCACTCTCAGAGTACATTTCAAAACACCCGTCTTCCTTTAACTAAAAATTGCCTTCGCACAGTCGCCCTCCATGATTCGTTAGGAATCAGCACATGCCCATCCTGTGAGACTTGTCCCTACATACAAAGCCTATGGTACGGCCCACAAAGGCCACTGCTACTGCTATGCACCACCACCACCAGCACCACACCTACTCTACTCTACTCATCTCTCTACTATGCGCATACCCCAAAGCCTACAGAGTCAGTCATCCTCTCGGCTCCACCAATGGAGTGGGCTCACTGGTAGAGGCCCCTCCATCTTCAACAGAGGTGGGGTTGGACGAGCTCAGATCTCGAAGGGGACGGCGTGGCTTCTCACCGCGGAAGACAGCAACCACATCGAACCATTCGATGTTGTATTGCAGGAGGGAGCACCGCATCAGGTCCCCCAGGGTGTCATCTCCAAGGCACCCACGCTCCCAACTCTTGATGAGGTTTTGCTTCGAGAACCCCCGCTCGCACTCGACCGTGCTGAGGGGAAGGACGGCGAGTGCCTGCCAGAGGCGGAGGATGTAGGGGTACGATCTCTGCCACTCGTTGTTGTCCAGCGTCAAGGCGAGCCCCTGGTGGAATCCGTCGTCCTTGTACTGCGACATCATCGCCGCAGTGAAGACCCACAGCTCTTGGACGGCTTTGTTGTTGTCGAAGCCTGGACAAGGGATCACAGCGGGAGGGAAGCACGTAAAAGGGTTGGTGAACAACGGTTTGGGGAGCATGCAACAATAGCGTATGTATGTATGTATGAACCTGCAAACATGGAGTATAAGCAGAGTTACTTTGACTTCTCTTACCAGGAAGCTTGCCTCCAAAGAGGCCGTGGTTCTGCTTCAACCACTGCTTGCACCGCGCCAGGCGCATCTCGTCGTCCAACGGGTACGTCTTCGCCTTGTAGAGCTTGCACCCCTCCATGTCACTAAGACTTCTCAATCGGCCACGTACACTCCCCACGAGCTCAACCGCAAACTTCCGGCAGACGACAGCGCATGAGTCGAGGTCGCTCTCGGAGGTGTGCCCGTCCACCATGCGCTCGTGCAGCACGTACTCGAACGACTGCGCGTTGCCCTTGTTGTCCACACCTTGGACGCACACCCGCCTATTGTTGGGTGACCCATGCGCCTGGAGGAACTCCCCGAGCCTGACGCTGCCGCCGTTACCGAAGTACACTCCCCCTCCGCACTTGATGTATCGGTCAGTAATGCGGTTGCAGGTGTTGTCCACAAGAGACGAAACGACCGTCATGTCAACCTGCGAGTGGGGGTTGGCATGAGCAGAATGAAGGAATTGTAAAAAGAAGACGCAAATAGACTGTCACGCAGAGCTGCTTTGACCCAAGCTTTGCACGAAAGACTCATGCACGTTGCATTCAGCGATTGAAAAGCAGTTGGGAAAGCGCCCAATACCTGTCGCTGCTGGAATCGGGTGTTGAGGTGGTTGAGTTCTTCAAGGATGTCCGCCAGGAAGTATAGCATGTACTGTACTTTGAACGACGTAACTATCTCATACAGCCCGCCAGGATGACCTCGCAGCAGAACCACAGCAGCGGGGAGGACCTCGACGAAGCGCACCACTGCTTCCCCGCGGGACAACCAGCGAATGGCGTAGATGCCTTGCGCCTCGAGGTTGGTGTTGCAGTAGACTAGCTGAAAGTTCTTAAAGCTGCTATGCTGGATGTTCGACCGCCCGACGAGGTCGGCGAAAGCACGGATGAGGATATCGATGACGTTGAGTTCTGTAACGGCAGCCGCAGCGTCCTTAGCAGCCAAGGCCTCTCTGAAACGGGTGGTAAGGGAGGGGGGGAGGGGGGAGGGGGGGATGCAAGGCCCAAGGAAACATGTTAGGCGATTGTTGAAACACACAGATCAAGTTAGGGACCCAACGAACCTATGCGCGATGCAATGAGTCGCGACGAGATGTAGGATGCGGCTTTTCAGCCTGGTGACGACCCCGGATGTGGCGCCCGTCATCACAGAAGCCCCATCGGTCGACATGCCAACAATCCTCTGCAGGTCGAGGCCGATCGACGAGAGAAACTGCAGCAGGACGGCGGTCAGCGACGCGGCATCGGTCCTCTCCACCGACAGCAGTGCGACGAACTCGGTAACGACGTGACTGCCGCGGAAGAAGGTGGCATACAGAATCATGTGTTTGCCGTGGACGCGATCCGTGCTCTCATCAATCGCAATGCCGACGTAGGGGGAAGAGAGAAGGTGCTGAAGCTGCTCGTCTCTCAGGTAGTTCGATATGGCCTTAGTTCCCTGTTTGAAGCCGTACCTGTAGTGCGGGAGCATAATGCACATAAGCGACGGAAGTTAGAATAGCGTTACAACAAAACAAACAGCGGATCGTGTCATGTGCAAACAAACATGGTGCAGGGAATTTAAAGAGCTGAGAGACTTACTCGGTGTAGTACGTCCCGTACGCCCCTCCCTGCGGCAGGTCAGGCAAACCTTCCGACGCAAGGAAGTAGCATAGGGCGACGTACATGGCGATGGGAGCATCAGCCTTACAGACGAAGAGGGCAATGTGGAAGCACCGTATGAGATGCTTTGTCGAGGAGTCGCTCGTGCGCCACCTGTCAAGCGTGCGCTGCTGCTCCTTCTCTCTCTCCCGCTCCTCCTTGGCTTTCAATGCATTTTTGTGCGCCCGCGTGCCGACATGGATGCGGATGCTTCCCACCTGTAGGTCGCGTGCACCCTCGCCCTTCTTCCCATAGTTGGTGTTGCTAAACGCGTCGCCAAACTGCAAGCACACAGCACACTTCAACGCAGGACGACCATTTTTCATCTGTGTCAATAGCAGCCAAGGAAATCGGCGAGACCAGTCGTCGACAAAACGACGCTTGATTATAGCATACTCAGCATCAGCAGGGGACGAGGGGTTCAACCCTGAGCTAGGAGTTGGAGGGGGTGGATTTGGCGCGGGGGCAGGCTTCTTTGGTGGCGGTGCCCAGGGCAGAGGACGCTGCGTCCAATGAGCGGACGCTTTCCGCTTCGTTGATGCGTCGACGGGTGACTCCCGCGAGCTGGCAGCGGGCTCGGACGTGCCCTCGACATGCTCCACATCGAGGTCGGGCATGTCATCGTGCGACGAGCAGAGAGGTGACACGGGCTCAAAGGGATACTTCTGGTGACGAGGAGGAGAGAGGCGAGAGGGGCGGGGGGGACTAGTAGGCTGCACGTTGGGAATAGTAGGTGGAAACAAAGGGAAAACCCCCAGAACACTCAAGCCGTTTCTAGGAGGAGGCTCTGCCTGGTCCGTATTGTCGTCGCTGTCCATGGTGAGAGGAAAGACGACGGGAATAAGATTGGTGAGAAACAGAGATGTGAGGAATACTGAGAGAACCTGCTTGAGCAAGAAAGGGATGAAGCAGGTGGGTCTTTCCAGAACGCAGGTGATGGGCTTAGAAAGAGAGGGGGGCACGCGGCATGCACGTAAGCAGATTCAATGGTCTGTAGTCGCAACGCATGCTGCTGCCTGCTGGGGTTTCTCGCTGCGTTGTTCGTGGGACCACGGCAGCGCAGCACCAAAGCTGCCAAACCGACCAATGAGGTCTCGCCGCAAGGCCAACGAGGTGTGGTCTGAGGTGGAGTCTGCCACAGCGCATGTGCCAGTGGGCGGGAAAGCCAGCACAAAAATACTTGTGGCGGGGGGCATGCATCTAATCCAGCGCTCGAAATCCGCCACGAGTCTGGTCCTTGAAGGTTTATGTATCAGGGTAAATTTAACGTCACCCTGACCGATCAGTGTACACAGCTCCGGAACCCAGTTTCTGTACGGGTAAACAATTTCTCACACTTTCTGAATCAGAGTTGAAAAACATCTAGGTCGGATTTTTAAGATGACATATAAAAATACCCGGAAAAATCAGGGCAATCAGGGTGTTTCACCCGGCTATTGAGAGGCCTGCATGCATCCGTCAATCTTGCATATGAACCCCACCCCCGCATATGTCATACATCCCCGATCCTTGACCCCATGGTTTACCATCTGTTTGATTTAGTGGTGCTGCAGGGTTGTGCCTTCCCGTATCCAGGCAAACGCGCAGCCATTGGAGCTGAAGTAGTTGATGTTGGTCCCATTTGACTATGTCATATGCTTTCGAACACTAATTGTCCACTCAGCATGCGACTTCACGAATATCAGTCGGCCCTTGATATTTTTCCAGAACAGTCATGGCTTCTACGACTGCTGCACCGTGACTAGACCCGCGGACCCTAGTGCGTTTTTAATGCCGCATGGGTGAACAGTCAACCGTACAATGTTACCCTCAGTTTCGCGGTGTCTACGCTAGATTTGGCCGCTCTATTCGTGATTTTACCCTACAATAGTAAGACGAAGGCGATTCGTGATAAGATGGGTTCGACCGGCTAATTGCATCTTTGGCCACATCTCTGCATGGCTAGTCTCAAAGATACCATTCAATCCAAAACCGTCCACAATTCTCTTGCCTACGCCCATTTTTTTTTGCCTAGTGCTCACCCCTTTATGCAAAATGGTGGGTCCAGGAAGAGTGCAAGAAGTTCCTTGCCAAGGTTTGTACTAACCTCGTAGGTAACATGCCTAGGAGGGTGCAGGTGGTGATCAAGGCCAAAGGTCGGTGGGCTATGTACCAGAAACGCGGTTATGAAGTTTGCTCTCTGCTTGGAAATATTTGTTCGGATGCTTTGTTTTTCTTCTAGGATGTCAATTAGAGCCAATGTACTATTATGGATTTCTTTGCTGTTAACACATCCATTATGTGCTCCTCCCAAAGCGTACCACCATAAAACATTAAGGCTTAATGTATAGTGGTCTTAAAGCCTAAAAACCCAAAATTATACAAAACATACGGACAATTGTTTCCGCCACTCTAATCAAGGCTGTGGCTCGCAGCACAGTCAATGGCAGCATCGATTAGAGCAGAGAGTCTCTGGAGGAGCAGTATGGTCAGTGAGAAGCGATGCAAGCAAGCGGATGGATGCATGCAGGACACAGTACGTATAGATGTGTTATCCCCACTATAGACTACACCTAGCTTGTATACAGTACATAAACATACACAAATATACTGTATGTACGTTAACACAACCCCCTAGATTGGGGCCAGAGTCTAACAAGGCATAGAAATCCAGGACAACACCACTAGTCTAGCCTCTGGTGTGTGTAACAAACAGCTCAGGGCAGCACTGCTTGTCTGACCACTGAGACAAGGGTAACAAGACAATTGGGACTAGGCTAAGCTGAGTACAAAACCGCTTGTGATCACGAGGCCCAAGGGCCTTGGTGAAGATATCAGCGGTGTTGGCCTCTCAAGCCACCTATACTATAAGCCTAGCTATGCTGTTGCTGCTCACACAGTAGAAAGTACTACATCTGGATGTGCTTGGCCTTGCGCTCAAGTCGAGCCTCCTAACACAGGAGGATTACAGCCTTGTTATCAGCAAACAAGACCGGGGCAGACCTTGGCCGCTCACCTAAGGCAGTGAGCAGGAACGTCAGCCACCAGAGCTCCTGAGCACCCATAGCACCAGTGTAGGCCTTATGAGAAGCACAGCCGCTAACCAATGTGCTAAAAGGGCTTGTTCACTAGCGGCTCAGCGCGCCTAGAACCCCCCGAACATAGAGCTCTGTGGCCCTCCTGAGGATCTCTAGGGCAACCCCGGTGAGTCTCTCGACACCCCCCCTCACTGGGGTAAGTGGAGGACTCTGGTACTCCAATTGGTGGGCATTGGGATTTGAACTCGAGTCCTCTGGCTCTAATACCATCTCAGAAGCACAGCCGCTACCCACTGTGGTAAAAGGGCTCATTAAGTAGGGGCCAGCGTGCTCGAAATCCTCCACGCATAGAGGCCTCTGGTCCTCCCGAGGATCTCTAGGGCAATCCTAGTGGTTCTCTTGATATAAATCTGCCTCACAGCTGGACTGTGCTACAGACAACAACCGAGTGGACCGCCACGCGATGCGGGGAGACCAGTGACCAAGCCGTGCTGAGCCATGTGACTTGGACGCGGGAGGGCAGGATGACCTAAGTGGTGGTGCCACAGGAGTGCCGGGTGATTGAGGGAGCGACAGGAGTAGGACGCGGCTACCTGGGTGGACGCAATTACCTGGGGGGACTCCGTGCGTAGGGTGAAGAGACCAGACTCTAAGTTACGGTCAAAGGTGGCTAGACGGGCGCCGGTGGCTGCGTCTGCACAGGCTGTTTACCGCGCGTGGCCAGGAAACGTGGTGATGACACCGAGGCCGTGAATATGAGTGACACCAACCATGTTCCTGGCAAATGTGGTGACATGCAAGCTGGTAAGGGATTTGGACAGGTCAGCTGGGCAAGGAGAGCCATGGTACCACGGGCGACGACTGTAGCAGGCGAGTCTGCTAGGGAGGCCGGTACCAGTGTCGGAAGCGGTGTGAGATCAGTGCGATCTTGGAAGAAGCAGTGAGATGCGCCAGAGTCAAGCGTGAAGGAGTTGGCCACCACAGCGGCGGCCAGTGGGGGAACAGTAGACAAGCAAAGAATACACATAGCAGAGGAGCCTAGACTACACACAGCAAAAGAGCCTAGACTATACACAGTAGGATAATAGGAGTAAGTAACACTATAATTATCAGAGTACAAAAAAAGCATGGCAAAACCTATATGAGCCATCTCCATCGCAGATACTCGAACGCCACAGTGGAGCATTGCAGGCCAGTCGGGTGGGACCACCAGGGGCCCAAAGTGGCTGCGGAAAAATACGTCCAGGTGACAAAAGCAGCGAGCGGCGGTGTGGCCCGTGCGCCCACAGACCGTGCCGCGCAGGGGGCCGGTTTGAATTTGGTACACAGAGTGCACAAGACCCCCAGACCCTATGCCACCCTGCCCACGGAGGATTCACGAGCACCCCTGGGTACCGACGGCCCCGAGGCCCAATCACCACAGCTTGCACCATGCCCAGCACTCCTAGGGCCCACGGGCCCCCACTGCGGCTGCTGCTTCTGCGGCGACCACTGCTGTGGCTGCTGCTTCTGCTGCTGCTGCGGCTGCTGCTGCTCCCCCTCCTCCTCTGCACCCGCCCCTCTGCCAGTGCCCGAGGCCCCACCAGCGCCCCCACGCCCGCCTCTGTCAATGCCCCATGACTATGAGGGCACCGCGAGCGCCCAGTAGAGCGGCCAGGTGCAGTGACCGCTGCAGCAGTCTCAGCGAGAGAGGCAGGGGCAGCTGGGACAGAGAGCAAGGGCGGAGAGCAGCCATGAAAGATAGGGGCCGCCACTGCGCCAGTGATCTGGGCTATGGCACGGAGGTGGGTCTTTCACTGTATCAAGGAGCTGGAGCGAGGCGGTCAGGGAGGCAGGTGATGAGGAGGTAAAGGGTGATGTAGATGGGCGGGGTGTGCTCAACAAGATGGGCCTTGGTGCAAGCCGCACAAAAGACGGTCTCGAGGGAGTGCAGGTGCGTGACGAGATCTTCCACCGTGGAGAAGGAGGCCAGGTCGGGGAATAGGAACGGGAGGAGGAGGCAACTGAGGGTGGCGGAGGATGGTGTCGAGTAGCAGGCGACAATCGCATCCCAGAGGGCCTGAGCCGTCTCTTCCTACCCAAAGTGGGAGTGCTCGTCGACCGGCAGGCACCAAGCGATGGCAACCTGCACGGCGGCATCACGAGACTCCCAGGTAGTGAGGGTGGTTCGTGCCGCCACGTACACCTTACGATGTGCCGACGCCGCCTTAGGGCCAAGGGATCAGGGCGGGGGGGGGGGTCGGGCAGCTCACCAGTAACGCGGGCTGCCCGCGATTCGCCCTCCACACGGCTGCTCAGCAGCTGCTGGCGGAGAGAGGAAAGCCAGGTCATGAATCCGGTCGTGCAGCCGTCGGCGTCTAGCCGAAGGACGAACACCGACGCCAACGGGGCCACCATGCCGCCATGCCATGCGACATGTACCCGAACAGGGGCCGCTGCAGGTAGGGGCGCCACACAGCGGCAACGGCGGCAGTAGGGTGGGCGGCAGGTCCAGCGACAGCTCCGATAGAAGGCGGCTGGGAGCTACTGAACGAGGAGATGGGTGCATGAGACCAGCGGCAGGCTACGGCGCCAGCGGCTGGAGTGCTGGGGATTGGGGTGGCAGCGGCTGGAGTGCAGGCAGCCATGGTTCCGGCAGCGGTGTTGGCGGCAGCGGCCTTAGCGTGGGTTGCTGTCGGTGCAGCGGCGATGACAGCGGCTACGGTTGCAGCAATGTTGGCGACAGCTGCACGTGCAGCGGGGGTCTAGGCGACTATCGCCTCCGGCGCAGCGAAAAGTATTTAGAAATACTTGTGCAAATAGCCTCAAGAGCCTTGCCTCCAAAAGTGATCTCAAAGTAGCTGCTAATCGTCAATACGAAATGGCAGCAATTTCCACTAGAAACAATGAGATACAAAGCACAAATGTTCAAACAGATTTATAGTGGAAGTACAAACGATTTCGCGCTTCGTAACTGCCGTGTGCGCTGCGAGTAACTCGCGCGCCTCGTGTCAAGCCGAGTCGCACACGCAACCGCGACTATCTTGCTGAACACGCCTCTGGTCCGAAGTCCGAATGCTTGTTGAACACGCCCCGTCCGAAACCCAACTTTTGCCCCACGTCAATCTGTTTCTCGTCAATTCCATTCCTTTCTTCCACTCAATCACTCTTTCCTTCAACCTTCTCTCTTGCTTCTCTCCTTTCCGTACACCTCACGCTCACGCAATACCCGCTTCCTAGTTCCTTCTCGTCCCCAAGTCCGCATTTCTTTCCTCGTCACCCCAAGTCACGAGTAGTCCGTTGTGGGTGGCGGAACCACTCCAACAACCTCCCCTGTGGTTCTGCCAGCCACACCCTCTAAGTTACCTTCACACTCCCCTGCATGTCCTTCAAGGTACGTATCCCGACCTTCTCCTTACAGTACTCAAAGTTGGCCCTTGGCAGCACCTTGGTCAAGAAATCAGCTGCCTGCTCCTCAGTGCGCACAAACTCGAACTTGAACTGCTGCTTCTCTAACTGCTCCCTCACCCAGTGATATTTCACATCCATGTGCTTAGTCCTCCTGTGCCAGTTGTCGTTCTTTGCCAAGTCCATAGCTGACTTGCTATCCGTCCTTACCACTGTAGGCCCCTTCACGTCTATCTCAAACTCGTTCAGCAACCTCCTCAACCACACTCCCTCTTGGCATGCAAAGAACAATGCCATGTACTCCGATTCAGCACTTGAAAGTGCTATACACTGAGGGAAAAAACTGTCCGGATGCAGGGGATCTATTGCGTTTTTTAGCCATAATTTCAGAGAATGATTAAGCCTTAATGTGAGAACATTCTTGTGTCATGGGCACATGTAGTCTCAACTCTGTCCCTTGGTGTTAGCTCGTTCACCTCATACAAACATGCTCAGTTCACATTATACATACAAGGTCATCATCCGGACAGTTTTTTCCCTTGTCACCAAAAGATCTACTAATCCAGATTCTAGTAGCTAGTCCATCTTCCCCCAGCCTTGATCACAGCACGCACACGCTTCGGCATGCTGTCTATGAGCCTCTTGCAAAAATCCGCGGGAATCTGCTCCCACTCCTCTTGGATCCGCTCCCAAAGTTCCACCATTCCTGATGGTGGCTGCTCGTACTTGGACAGCTCCTTTTTGAGGTGAGCCCAGAGATTCTCGATCGGGTTAAGATCGGGGGAGGAGGAGGGCCAGACGAGCACGGAATAGTCCTGCTCCCCAAGGTATTCCTGCACTAGGCGACACTTATGCTTGGGGTCGTTATCATGCTGGAAAATGACTTTACATGGCGTGAGGCTATAGAACTCGATAGTGGATGTGAGTTCATCCTGTAAAATGCTGCGATACAATGGCCCATCCATCCTCCCATCTATCTTGCACATAAAACCCGCGCCGTCATAGGTCAGGCATCCCCACACCATCACAGAACCCCCTCCATGCTTCACCGTTTGTCGGATTTGATGGCTCTGCAGGTTGTTGCCGTCGCGGATCCAGGCGTATGCGCGGCCGTCCGAGCAAAACCGATTTATCTTGCATTCGTCGGACCAAATAACGCGCTTCCAGTCCTCAAGCGTCCAGTCTACGTGCGCCCTGGCAAACTCCAGCCTGTCCCTAATGTTCTGCTTGGACAGTCGCGGTTTCTTCGGTTGCGATACTGCGACTAGACCAGCTTCACGAAGAGAATTCCTAACTGTCTTGGGGCATACGTTAACATCGTGTGCTGTTCCTAGCATTTTCGCCGCGTCAACGCTCGTTTTCGCCGCGCCACTAGTAATAGCTCGAATAACGGTGCGCTGGAGTCGGGGTGATATAACACGTGGCCTTCCACCTGGCGGCATTGTGGGTCGCACCTCTTCGCGGCTAGTCTCACCGATGACTTTGAGACCGTAGTCATGGACGGTGCTTTTACCTACACCTAAATCTTTCGCTATTTTCCGCACGCTAACCCCCTTGCGCAGAAGCTCGATAATACGTGCTCGTCGCTTCTCATCGACCGGCTTCATGGCGTCTGGACCGTGTGCGGACTACGGGGCTACGGAGCGGCGGCGAGAAGTTCGCTAGATCGAGACCTAATTTAAGACCGGTGGCGAATGTAGATGTCGAACGTCGATCGGAAAAAACTGTCCGGAAGCAGTCCATCTTGCAAAGCCTTATCATACGTTAGACCTCTTCGTTATTACAAACCTCAACTCGGTGGGTTCATGAATATACGCACTGTTATACACACAAGGAAATTTGTGGAAACTTATTGTTACCATAACAGGCAAAAATTGACCGGCAAAAGCCTAAACCCATTTATCCGGACAGTTTTTTCCCTCAGTGTATCTGCCAGCTTCTTAACTTGCCACGTAATAGCTGTCCCTCCGAGTAGGAACACATATCCATATGCCCCTCTCCTGGTTTCCTTGCATGATGCATGTGAGGCATCAGCATACCCCACCAGCTCCAATGTCTCCTCTCCTCCTTCAAATAGTAAACCCTCATCCTGATGCTGCAGCAGGTAATCTAATGTCCGCCTCATCTCCTTCTCTGCTTCACGACTGTCTGTACTATCTAGCAGCTTCCATGGATCGTGACCATCTCGTGCAGTTGATCCCTGCTCACTCTCCCTTGGTGCCATCTCCACCTCAGTCGTTGCATCCTTCTCCTCTGGCTCTATCTCCTGCTGCTCCATCTCCTTTCTCCCCTGTGCAGCCATTTTCTCTGGAAGCTCCCACACCCAAGTATGTGCTTCTTCTTCTGCAATCTCCTCTACTTCATCTCCAATCCCTTCAATCGATGTCTCCTCCAGCAGCCCTTCCACCTTCTCTAGGTTAGCTGCTTCCCCTGCCGTTGCAATCTCCGAACTCACCCCTTTCCACTTCAAGTAGGTGACATTCTCATAGAATATCACATCTCTGGTCACCACCACCTTCCCTATCTCCACATCCTTGATCAACCATCCTTTGCTCACCATGCACATCCCAAGGTTAAGCCCCCACTTACTTCTAGGTAGTAGCTTATGGGTTGGTCCAGCTGGCTCCCTGTACTGCACCATGCAGCCCCATACGCGAGCCAACCCCATATTCGGCTTCCTCCCATAGAATGCTTCATGTGGGGTCATATCTGCTGCCAAGCCCTTGGTAGGTAGCCTGTTCTTAACCCAACAAGCCATCCCCAAGGCATCTCCCCAGAACTTCAGTGGTAATCCGCTGTCCGCTAGCAATGTCCTTACACAGTCCAGCAGTGACCTATTCACCCTCTCCGCTATACTGTTGTGCTGTGGAGTGTAAGGCACTGTCAATTGCCTCAGAATCCCCTTGGAGCGCAAGTAGCTGTTGAACTCCTCATTGACAAACTCCCCACCATTGTCAGTTCTCAGCACCTTCAGCTGCTTCCCACTCTGCCTTTCTGCTTCCACCATCCAGTCCAGAAAACTAGAGAAGACCTCCGTCTTATCCTTAAGCTCAGTCACCCATGTGTGCCTAGTCCCTAAGTCTGTAAAGGTGACAAAGTATTTGCTCCCGTGCCTGGATGCCACCCTCAGCGGCCCACACACATCAGCTGCTACTATCTCCAGCGCTCCATATGGCTCCTGCACCTGATGCTTGGGATGGGGGGATTTGGTGATTTTGCCCTCCACACACTTGTCACACTTCCCCTTGCTCCCATCCCCATCCTTCAGTTCCACTCCAACTGTCATTTCTTTCTGCACTAACTCCTTAATCCGCTCCATCCCTGCATGTCCCAACCTCCTATGCAGGGTCTCCATGTCTACCTTGGCCGCTGCTGCCACCATCGATACCGCTTCCTTCCGCAGCTCCTCTACAGGTACACTTTTCAAGCTCGCCCGCAGCTCCTCCCTTGCCAGCACCCCTTCCTCCGTCGGCTGCTGGTAGGTAACCTTCTCAGCTATCATGCCCTTCTCATTCAACAGCATTTCATACAACCCATTCTTCAGCATGCCCTTAGCAACCACATTCCACGCATGGTCAAACATCCACACGCTGCCCTTGTTACTGAATGTCTTGCATCCAGTGTTGTCAAGCTGTGACTGACTGATCAAATTCAGTGACAGACCATCAACCAGCAACACATTCTCCAGTTTCAACTCCCCATACTGCCCTTGCAAAATCAGATCTCCCTCTCCCTTCACAAGCAATTTCCGATCATCTCCCACAAGCACATACGGCACACTTGATGCCCTCAAAGCATTCAGCCACTCACTGTGATTGGTCATATGCTGTGTGCACCCACTGTCCATATACCATGCAGCTTCTCCACCCCCTTTTGCCATCAGGCACACCCCTGATGCACGCGCAACATTCGCCTTATGTGCATCACCCAAAATAACATCAGCTTCCCTCTTTTCTGCTTCAGCTGCATGTGCCTTTGCCGGTGCCGAACCTTGCTGCTGTGTTCCCCTGTAACTCCGGCTGTTGGGGTTCGAGTAGCAATCGATAGCTCTATGCCCTATCTTCGTGCAGTGGTGGCAAGCTCCAAAGAACTTTCCCCTCTGCTGCCTACTATCTCCTCTGCTATCCCCTTCCCCACTCTGCTGCACTCCATTCCATCCCATACCAGGAGCACCTTTCCCCTTGTAGTTGCGGCTCCTCGGGTTATCATAGCAGTCAAATGCCTTATGCCAAATCTTGCCGCAGTGGAAGCATGCACCCATGCCTCTCCCTGCAGCGACTGCATTCACCATTGCAGGCTTCTCCTGCTCCACACCCGCAGCCCCATTTTCTCCTTGGGCCGCTTTCTCCCGTCGTGTCACATCCTCCTTGGATATCGCCAAGGCTTGCAGCATCTCCAGAAGCTTCGTCATATTTGCAGGTGGATTGCAAATCAACGCAGGTCGATCTGATGCCCACTCCTTCGAGAGCCCGTTGACAATGTAACCCATCATTGCCTTTTCGTTCTCCTCAGCTCCCATTGCGGCCAAATCGTCGTTGTAGCTCTTGGCTCGATTGATGTACTCGATGACGGCTTCCTTCGGCTCCATACTCAGCAAAAGCAGCTTCCTCCTCACCGCAGCGATGTTCATCTCCATTTGGCGAGGTAGGCTGACTCCATGTATGCCCACGCCACTTGAGCCGGATTTTTCTCGCCTGAAAACTTATCCAGGCCCACAGCAATTCCATCAGAAACAGAATGGCACAACTGAAAGAATGCTTGCTCACTCCTTTTCTGATATCCCGAATCCTCCTCTTGGTTGCTTGTAGTTGCTACTCCTTCGGCCTTCTCACATCGACAGTAGAATTGCCATAATCCTACCTCCTTCGCTCTCCTTATGAACTTCAAGCGCCACGTACTATAGTTACTGCCATTAAAACGCTGGGCTTCACTGAGCCCTATCGTTGGTTTCGCTACCAACGACCCATGCGCTAGCAATTCTAAAAGAGCCTTAACCTGGGGGTCTCCAATGCTCACAGAGGAGCCCGAACTAGCCTCTCCAATATCGCCTGTCATTCTTGAGGCTTCGTCCTACACTTTAGAATGCTACAACGCCCTTACACCGGCTCCACTTGGCGCACTAAATAGAGTCGCGGAGAAATTTCGCCAGCACTCCGACGCTAGCTCTGATACCAGTTCTAGGCGACTATCGCCTCCGGCGCAGCGAAAAGTATTTAGAAATACTTGTGCAAATAGCCTCAAGAGCCTTGCCTCCAAAAGTGATCTCAAAGTAGCTGCTAATCGTCAATACGAAATGGCAGCAATTTCCACTAGAAACAATGAGATACAAAGCACAAATGTTCAAACAGATTTATAGTGGAAGTACAAACGATTTCGCGCTTCGTAACTGCCGTGTGCGCTGCGAGTAACTCGCGCGCCTCGTGTCAAGCCGAGTCGCACACGCAACCGCGACTATCTTGCTGAACACGCCTCTGGTCCGAAGTCCGAATGCTTGTTGAACACGCCCCGTCCGAAACCCAACTTTTGCCCCACGTCAATCTGTTTCTCGTCAATTCCATTCCTTTCTTCCACTCAATCACTCTTTCCTTCAACCTTCTCTCTTGCTTCTCTCCTTTCCGTACACCTCACGCTCACGCAATACCCGCTTCCTAGTTCCTTCTCGTCCCCAAGTCCGCATTTCTTTCCTCGTCACCCCAAGTCACGAGTAGTCCGTTGTGGGTGGCGGAACCACTCCAACAGGGGGCGGCGCGGGCGGCTGTAGCTGCGGCTGGCTGGCGGCATGCAAGCGGGCCAGCAGCTCTAGTGGCAAGCAGCGAGTAGCCGTAGCTGGCAGCGCGCAACGGGCGACTTGCAGCGGGCGGTGCACAACTGCAACTGCCAAAAAGAGAGAATGAGTTCGGATGCAGGATTGAGGGTAGAGTATTTATCATAGTCTGCACTCAAGGTTATTGGAGGTCAGCTTGCCTGCCTAGATGGAGCGGTCGGAAGGGGGGATGAGGACATATGCCTTGCAACATTGGATGTGAAGAAATGCAGCATCAGGCTTGGTGAAGGCCAAGAGCTCTGTAGGAGTGATGGACTCACGTAGAGGGTAGAGGAATATTAGTGAGGACAGCAGTATGGACGAGGGCATAGCCCAAGAGGGAAGGGGGGGTGGGGGCATGAGTGAGAAAACATCGTGCCTTCTTAATGATCTTATGGATGTAGCTCTCATCAACACCGTTCTGCTGAGGGGAATGGGGAAGGGTATTAGTTGTGCTGGAGCAGTAGAACGAGAGAGTGCGGTTGAGAAACTCACCACCACTGTCAGAATGGAGGCGGTAGAAAGGGCAACCATAGTAGACACCACACAGCTCGGCCCAGGCGAGAATGACAGCAGGTGCTTTGGCCTTCATATGGAGAAGGAACACCAAGGAGTAGCTGCTATGATCGTTGACTAGGACGAGCATATACCATGCCCTTGGTAGGAAGAGGAAGGGTTAGGACTTCAGAGGTCCATGCAGATAGGCCAAGAAGGGCAAGAGCAAAGGAATGGTGACTGAGGAGACGACTTTACGAAGTCCGGGAAAGTTTATGTGACCAAAGCGATCGTGGATGAGAACAGCAGGGTGGGAGAGCGCACAACAGAAGCATGAAGAGAGGGCGGAAAGGGGAGGACGGTGGGTTAGGAGGGAGGTGGGAGGAGTGTAGAGGTGCTTGCACGAGTGGTGACATAAAAAGAGGAGGGGCAGGGGTGTGCTCAGGATGTACTGGCGAGAGCACGGGCAAAGAGGGAGGCGGTGAAGGAGGCAGGGAGTGGGCTTTTGAAGCACATCATAGTATGTGGCAGAGGCAGGGAAGGTGGTAGTGACGCCATCTTATTGGAAATCTGAAAACGAACCCAAAATTGTTTTCCCCCCAAAACACGTCTCATATTGCGAACGAAAATGGAAACTGGAACTAGCTGGGTGCGACGCAAAAAAAACGGTTCGCCTCAGACGCCCCGAATTGCAGTTACCACATATCGCAGCCCACGAAACAGATGCTTCATGCTGGGTTAGGTGTCAGGTGCGATTTGACGTTGCGCCAAGCGAGTTGTTTGCGAGGTCGCCTTGTTCTCGCCAATCTCGGCTTGGCGAAACTCTAAGCGCCACAGGTGCCCACTCGACCCCAAACATACACCTACCGCCACCCGAATCGTGGACAAATTTTGACTGGGGTACATGTACCTTCACATGCGTCGAGCATCCCGAGTTACGAAATATTCGCGCACTTGTCCTCGCGAAAGGTAAACGATGCTAGAATCGGGTTATTTCAGGCAATGAGTAGAATGTCAACTATTTGGAGACGCTCTGAGGGAGCCAATCGTCAGCGACGGCCGATCGTCGTCGTGTTTTTCGTGACAGATTGTAACGATCTCTAGGACTTCTCGCATTCGTCTGCAGCCAATCAACGAGCATCCGTGGGACGCGCGGAATGGAGATGTGTTGCTGCTGGCTGGAGCATCCCCCACTGCCCTCTCGCTGGGCACTTTCGCTGCACGCACACAATGGCGGGGAATGGGCCGTGCCACACACGACTGCCACCAGATGCCTTCACCATGCCTGCCAGTTACCACATCAGCACGGAGAGCAGCGACTGGCGAGCCGAGTAGCGCAATGATACAGACGCACGTAGCTTTTGGGAGGAACTCGACTAGTGTTAGCGGCATCCGTTAGTGGGCCACTCTACTGTCTGGCAGCAGTGTAGCGGACTCAAACCAGGCGTGTGCGACCTACTAGTATTGGCGTATGGCGTTTGTGTGACGGCAAGTGCCGCCTGCACCACGGATGCTCCCAGGCCGCGAGTCCGCCATCCGCCATGGCAGGAGGTGGCGCCACAGCGGCCAGTTCGCGCGCGTGGCACGCATTGAGGCGTGGTTTAAAGCTCTCGCGCTCACATGGTGCACGTAGTACCGCTTGCACTGCCCAAGCACCCGTACATCCTTTCCGCGCCACCCTCCCGCTGTCACTCGCACAGCCCCGCACTCGCAACTGCACCTTCGCCGCACACGCCTCGCCGCAGCCACGCGCGCACAGTGCCGCGTGGCCTCGCTCTCCCGGGCGCACTCCGTCCGCCCCTCGTCCCCGCCGCCATGGCTTCCGCGGCCTTCCCCGCGCTCTCCTCCACTGTCGCTCCCCCGCCCTCCGCTCTGTGGTCCGCCAACCTCTCCGTGAGTCTTCCCCGTTCTCCCCATCGCCGCCTAACCACTCCACCACCACCACATCCTCGCGCCTTCGGGACTCTCGAATCCCCTTTCCTTACTCTCCCATTCCCCCCTCCGCTTTCCCCCTCCCCCCCCAGGCGCCGTACCCGACGAGCGCGCCGTGGCAGAACTTCGTGCTGGGACAGGGCGGCAGCCCGGAGCTGGTGAGTCCGTACGTGGTGCAGAGCGGCGAGGGGCGCGTGGCGTGGGGGCTGCCGGTGCGCGACGCGCAGGCGGCGTTCATCGTGCAGGCGTTCGTGACGAGCCTCATGCTGTCCACGCTGCAGGGCCTCCCCGCGCACCAAGTCTCCGCCTACGACGACCTCTCCGTCACGCTCTCCTTCCGCCAACCCGACGCCGATGCCTCCCAGCCCCCCGTGCTCCTGCTCCCCCTGGTCCGCGGATCCCCCTTCCTCACGTTCATCTTCCCCCCGGGCGGGCCCCCCGCGACGCCCGTGCTGACGACGGTGCACGCCATAACTGACGTGCAGGCGAGCGGCGACAGCAAGTACCGCGTCGCACTCAACAACGGCCAGGTCAGCCCCCCGCGCCCTGTACTGCTAACCCTCCACCCCCTCCCCATTCTGCCACTCTCGCAATCCCCCCCCCCCCCGCATTTGCCCGCGAAACCTTGTTTGCTTATCTGAAGGACCTTCCCCCTCCCCCCTCCTCCCCCCAGACGTGGGTGGTGTACCTGTCGTCGCCGCTGTCGCTGCGGCATGACGGGGCGGCGCTGGTGGCGGCGGTGCCATTCACGGGGACCATGCGCGTGGCGCTGCTGCCCGGCAACGCCGCAGAGCAGGAGGAGGCGCTGCTGGACGCGCGCGTGGCCACAGTGCCGCTGGGGGGGCGCGCAAGGGTTGGCGCGTTCCGCATCAAGTACCGCTGGCGCACGCAGCAGTGGCGCGAGGTGGCTCCTGGCGACTCCAAGGCGCCCCTGCTCATGCTCTCGCTGCCAGGTGGGTTCAAGTGGGCTGCTTCCATGTGTGCTGCCATGCGTGCTGCTGCCATGCGTGCTGCTGCCATGTGTGCTGCTGCCATGCGTGCTGCTGCCATGTGTGCTGCTGCCATGCGTGCTGCTGCCATGCGTCCTGCTGCCATGCATGCTGCTGCCATGCGTTCTGCTGCCATGCGTGGTGCGAGAGGAGCCCTTTGTGCTGCTGTGTGTGCTGCCCTGTGTGCTTCCCTGTGTGCTGCCCTGTGTGCTGCCGTGGGTGCTGCCGTGTGTGCTGCCGTGTGTGCTGCCGTGTGTGCTGCCGTGTGTGCTGCCGTGTGTGCTGCCATGTGTGCTGCCCTGTGTGCTGCCGTGTGTGCTGCCGTGTGTGCTGCCGTGTCTGCTGCCGTGTGTTCTGCCGTGTGTGCTGCCGTGGGTGCTGCCGTGTGTTCTGCCAAGTGTGCTGCCGTGGGTGCTGCCGTGTGTGCTGCCGTGTGTGCTGCCGTGTGTGCTGCCGTGTGTGCTGCCGTGTGTGCTGCCGTGTGTGCTGCCGTGTGTGCTGCCGTGTGTGCTGTTGTGTGTGCTGCCGTGTGTGCTGCCGTGTGTGCTGCCGTGTGTGCTGCCGTGTGTGCTGTGCTGCCGTGTGTGCTGCCGTGTGTGCTGCCGTGTGTGCTGCGCTGCCATGTGAGCTGGAATGCCATCACAAGTGTCACCGTGCTGTCAGCTGCCCTCTTCCTCTAAATACCAACCATCCAACTCTCCTCTTTTGTCACCCACCTCCCCACTTCCGCGCCGTTGTCGGCTTTGCATCACCCTGCCGTCCCCTTCCCCCTCCCCGTTCCCCCATGAGCAGTGCACCGGCGCCTGGGAGTGCGCTCGGACAACCCCTCCCCCTCCTCCTCCCTGCGCCCCCGCAGCGTCTCCCCGTCCCTTAGCACGGGCTCCATCCGCGGCACCCGTCTCCCCGCGCCTGCTGGCTCCTCCGCTCTTAGGGGCCATGGCGGTAGGGCCCAGGCGGGCTGGGAGTACCACAGCAGCGACGCTGCAGCACGGACTGGGGCACGTATGGCATCAAGGGCAGCGTCAGCGGCAGCGCCATCGGCAGGGGAGGCGGACGAGGCTGTGCTGGCTTACCCCACCATCGATGGGCAGGCAGTGGGCATGGGGGGGTCGGTGTGGGAGGTGCAGGTTCCCAGGAAGCCCACCCTGTGGCACTCGGACGGCCTCACGGCCAACGCGCAGGTGCTGGACGAGGTGAGGGCGAGCCTGCAGCAGGACGTGGCGGCGCTGCCGCCGCTCTCCAACCCCTCCACCTACTTCTTCGGCAAGGCAGCGGCGCGTGCCGCCCGCCTGGCGCTCATCGCGGACCAGCTGCACGATGACAGCAGCCTGGCCGCCGTGCTGCCGCCCCTGCGCTCCGCCCTCTCCGCCTGGCTGGACGGCACCTTCCCCGGTAACCGCCTGCTGTACGACCCCACG